CATTCAATCGATAAAGCTGTACTCTTTACAAGTAGAAACAATTTAGAATAATTTCATTGAAGAATAAACAGAATTATGTAACCGTTCTTGTCTAACTTATCTGAACTGTTCAATTTAAAAGTTCAACCTCGTGACACCTGCCTCGAACGCAAATTCAAAGGTTCTTCGGTAAACTTTGTTAGTGACTCTCCAGGGTACTTCCTCCCAAAAATTTGTCAACTTTCGGGAAGTTAAAATCGAGGACAAAGTAGAACACAGTCTTTTTCCTCTCCCTCTCTCTCTCTCTCTCTCTTTTTAACATTCTCAACTGAACTTTGAAGAGCTCTTAGAGGAATAATTTTCCTGGAATTGAGTTGGATTTCTCACTGACTGGCTCGTTTAAAATGTATCATGCGCCGTTGACGACCCTCGTTACGGAACAGTTGCCCAAAACAACTTCATATCGTTTCGCTACGGGCTACTTTGCCCCGTAGTTTATTTCCAGACAGCCACTCCGCGGACTTTAATCTAACCGCAATTACACCGTGAAACGCCGCGGACCGAACCTTTTAACTTTACCAATCCTCACTCAGCGGTGAATTTTCCTTTGCTAATAATTAATGCACCGTCGCGAGGTACACGAGACACCAGCGAAAAATAACAAATATAAGAAATGCTCCAGTTTCTATTTGTATCATAATTACTACTCACCGTCTCTCTTGCTCGATGGAATACTAATTCAGATGGGTTGATCCTTTTCGTCCTGGATATGTCTTCTTTAAAAATTGCACAGGATTCTTCACGCACAGTTTTATTTTACACCACACAACTTTTTCTCAACTTGCTCGAGGAAGAACAACACGGAGGCACTAAACGTCAACCGAAAGCGTCGCGAGAACATAGGTGGCGTTGATAGACGCGCGGTATATGAAATACTTTAAAAAGAGTGGCGGCACCCCGTGTAATCGTTGGAACAACGAATGGGGCCCCATGGAGTTCAGAACACAATTGTTAACATTTGTAGCTGACAAAAGCAGTAGGACAAAGAAAATAATATATGTATGTATTAATATTATAGTAATTTGTAGAAGTAATACATTTATTCCTGATGAGCAAATGGAGCATTTTATTATTCGCATAAAGCAGCTTCCTCTTCGCTACAGAAAAATTTCCTTTGATCATTTTCGCTTTACCTACTAATGTAATTAAACGTCAGACGTTACTGCAAAAGAAAGAGTTAAACTGTGCTTGATAACTAAATTTAATATAGAGA